ATGATATACTGGTGGTCTCGAAAGCCTACTTATAAAACTAAAAATCAGCGGAGACTGCCTTCATATTATTCGAAACTCTATAAGCGTCTTATGGTAAACGCTACCACATAGCTAAGGCCATATAAACTAAACTCAAATGATTAGTATATATTTTAGCTAGGAATAAAATTGTTCACTTTTCCTATCTAATTAACTTTTCATAACTTACTTGAAGTTTCTGTAGGTTTGAAGCGTTTTTTTCGACAATTACGATGTTGAATATAAAGGAAATGAAGATAATTGATTATGGAATAAAGGAGTCTTTGGAAAGTCTACCTTAATTTATTCTAAGTGAGCTTCGCCATCTTCAGCTTCCAGCTGCTTGTCAAAGAGACAAGAGAAGTCCATTCTTTGGAAATATTTTCCTAAACGGTTGTGTTATCTTTGCTTCACAACCTGTCATTATGGATCTATCAGATATCCACATGAAAGATGCAGCGCAGGCCAGGGACATTCTTTCTCAGATGGCTTAAAATACACGTGAGGAATCTTGGAGGTGATCTATTTTATTCAAGAATTTGGAGACATACTATACGATTTTAAAGAAGCCCAAGTTGCATTGAACTTCACATCTTTCTAGTGACCTTATATCGCTTGCTGTTGTAGAGCATAATGGTATCATGTCACTGGGATTCAAGACCCAGTTTCGAGTTATTAGGAGTACTAATGAGACCTATATGAGGTAATGACTGTAGTTTATGAGAAAACCTTTTAGTAGACAAGGCTATGGGAAATTTATTGGCATCCTAAACATAATATTCTAGGAAAAACTCAATTTTCAGTCTTTGAATCATTCTAAGCCACACATAGGGACTAAGTTCTTGTCTTGCTGTTTTTAGGGTTTAATCTTGTGGGTAAACCATGAAGCCACTGCGTGTACATGTGATCTCAGAAGATAGTACACATTGAGAAAATGCAGAGTCTATACTATCCAATGGATTGAGATAGCTTGCGAGATCACGAAGTTTCTGATGGGATAGGAAATGTGAAAATGAGATCCCACATTAGCGAAAAGGGACAGATAAGCTGCGGCATAGCAGAGTATTCAAATCCAGAGATTCCAAAGACTTTATAGGCGAATGCTAATTGTGAAATGATGATTTTGACTGAAAGGATGCCTGAAGCAGTAATAGTCCTGAGACTCATGGCTGTGGAGCTTTATTTGTTGGCCTATTTTATTCTTACTATCGTATGCGTGGGGGTGGTTATAGGAATGAACTCTTAAAGCATGACAGATGCTGTGGCAACGATCTAATATATCTTGTAAATCAGTAACCTAAGGGACAGTTGTCGAGACCACAAGTGAGAAACCGATATGAATTCACCGAAGCGTTTTGAAGACCAAAAGGACCTGTCTAACTAAGTAGTCAGCAATGAGGAGAGGGGAAGGCATCGGATAATGTTATGGAAGGGCCGCGCCTTTGGATTAGATCAGAACGAGTTAAAATTTTGTTAGTGGAATTGCGAGATGTGGATCGTTTTTTGGAGCTTTCTTTTAGCTGAAGGACTATGAGATGTTGATAGGTGAAGGATGAGGATAACCAGAGTCGTTTAGCGGAAAGTTCGTCAAGTGGCAGATTTGTGAAAATTTTGTCAATGCTATCTGATGATTCCGTCGAGACGCCTTAAATCAGACCTAGTCACTGGTCCGATGCCGAAAGAAATAATGGTATCTACGGCATGTGACCAGATACAGGACATCTTTTTCGAAAACACTCTGACACCACTTGAGCTGCTAAGACAGGATCAGGCAAATAGTTAATGATGAACTGAGCATCTGACTACACACCCATGGTTTGACCATGATTTTCTGTTTAGTCAGTCAAAGTTATGTAATAATGAATCGTATTACTCCTAACCCATTTATAGTAACATGGCCGTTTTATTTGTAATTTTTATTTTAGTCATCTTGATATTTAAATTTATTTTTCGTTTAACATTATATTGTCGAGTAGATCATATACATGATGTGTACTCAGCCTATTTCGTTTCAATTACCCGTCAGCTTGTCGCCCTAAATGAAATTTGGTGAATGCACCTCATATTTAAATTTATTGTCACTATGCTTTACTAATGACTGCCATACTTTGTCAGGCGCTGCCTTAAGTTCGGCTGGCGAGCCGGGAGAGTTGCAAGCCATCCTACAAGAGATGAACATCAGGACGCGTCTGCGTCTCTCTCTGGATCTGGTCAAAAAAGAATATGAGTTGGGCCGGCTGCAGCATCAAATTGGCAAAGAAGTCGAGGAGAAAGTGAAACAGCAGCACCGCAAATATATGCTGTCTGAGCAATTGAAAGTGATAAAGCGTGAGCTTGGCCTTGAGAAAGACGATAAGGATGCCATCGCGGAAAAGTTCAAGGCCAGATTAAAGGTTAGCTTCGAATCGACCAATCCTGCGTGAGCAATTATAGAAACGGAGATATTGACAATGTATTTCCTTTTTATACTTCAATGCCTAATGGAAAGTTGTTGATCTGACTTCCGTTTCAAGTAATAGTGCTTGATGAAGAGATTTGGAAGTGGATCCCACAAGAAAACAACTGCGTATGATGGATATCATCAGAGTATGGTATGATTCTAACAACCATATTCAAGCTAACAAATTAAGAAAACTCTCCGACTTATTCGAAATTCTGTAAATATAGAAGGTATGGCCTATTGTGTGATCAAGGTCTCCTTTCGAGGTGTGACCATTTTTTCGCAACTTGGTCATATTGGTTAGAAGACTTAGAGGAATGCACCTAATCCGGAGTCCAGTGTATGCATGATAATTTCCTGACTAGGACCGTGGATGTGGTACATTCCCAGACATTTCGTCGGCATCGTCAGTGAGTCTTGCCATTCTTAGCACTACGCTACAGCTTGTCAAAGAAACAAATGATGCAGATATTTTGATCAATTGTCTGCTAAACAATCGTGGTATCCTCCTTCCATAAGCTGGGAATGTTGATCAGAGTGCCATATTACACAATCCCACTTCCCTATGCCTTATCAGAGTCTTTCTCTTGCCCGTAGGATTCGTTTACTATCTTTATGGTTCAAGTATTTCACTCGACTTTTGCCACCCTACCTATACAACTCGAGGCTTTATTTCCCACACTCTGCGTCTGGGAGACTAAATTGAGTCTAAAGACCCCGAGTAATTCTCAATGTCAAGCTTTTGCTTCATGGACCAAGTCTATGGTACAACCGACCTACTCTCAGCCAACTAGCTCCAGGCTTCGCCACGTATATCCTATTTTTATCTGTAATATCAAGTATATGATTTGTTATGTCGTTGTCTCTCGTGTTTACAGATGTCGAGTGAAATACTTGAACCAGGGAGATAGCAGATGGATCCTACAGGGAAAGAGGGAGACTGAGTAACAATATGACAGATTGATTAACATTCCCAGCACAAGGGGAGTGAGGGGATGATAAAGGCAGCATAGAGTGTGGAGAGTTCTCATGAAAGCCGCCAAAAAGGGCACATTATACTACATTTAAATATTGTTAGGGGGACTTTCATTTTGTATGAAAGTGAATTAAAAAGAGATTCGTTGGTCGATCTCACCAGATGAGGACGGATGCATCTTGTTGTACTGTACCTGTTTGGCTTTAATACGATCTTCAAGTTGACGCAGTCCACAAGACTTCCTCTCTCGTTTCAGGTGAAAAAGTGCTGAGCTTTCGTCCATCATATGATGCACATCATCTGAGCACATCAGAGCTGGATGCCTTTCTTGTAAAAGTCTCAAGTTACCACTAGAGCATGAATAATATCCGGTTCTATCTTACTTATATAGACTCAATTGAGCCAGAATAAAATTAATAACTTAGATAGCTCGATATAGAGTTGTTCCGTTAATTTTCTTTCATAGTGGTCCTGTTATTTTTGCTTGATTGTATGATTATGTGCATTTGTGCGTGTTAGCGTTTATATGCAATACGGTTCCTGTATCAGAGTTGTCAAAGTTTTAATCTCAGGTTCTGATCCTTAAGACCTAATGACCCAAAAGAAAGCTTGATCGAGATTGCGTAAGTACATAAACAAGTATGGTTGAGATAATGAGATATGAGCTTGTAAGCATGAAAATCAAGTTACGAAGCCATTTGTCCTAACCTTTCAGTCTAGGGTCGTTAACGTTTAACCCTCAAGGAAAGGTAAGACTGGGGTTACGTAATCTGACATGTCTGGTTTGGTTGATGAGATTACTCTAACCTTTTGGAAGAATGTGAGTGAAATAAGAACCATCACCGAGCAGGCAAATTGAGTCGCCTTCTTTTTGACAGGGCTCAACATTCTCTCTTTCCTTCAATCTATTAATTAAGCATAAGTAATTCATACTCTACTTTCTACCACTGTTCCTCACATTTAACGTATTTCCTTAGCTATTAATTTTAATAGCCTCTCTTATCATTCTTTTAAACACAGACGTACTATAATCAGCCAACCTACTAGTTTGAGACCATTTTATTTCATGTCCAATTTCTACCATGCGTTAGCCCACTTCTGACCGTTTGATCCAGCTTCTTTTACAAGCATTTTTGTGTTCGCCAAATCTTTGTCAAATAGGTCGGCATGTCTCTCCAACATAACATCGACCAAATGAGCAAACAATTTCTTAGCAGCCGGATCTCGATAATGGGTCATATTTCTCTCTAAAAGATGACATAACAGAAAGAAGTGTGAGGGTTTCTTTGAACACTGTTTTTATGCCTCATTCCTTTACAAATTCACCTATCTTTTTTTATAAAAGGCATCGTTAAAATTATAGAATAATATCTCTCTACTGAGTAATAACTGTTCAGATGGAGACCATTTAGTCAAAGATAGACAAACTGAGACATTTTTCCATGTCCTTATTTTACCATTATGTCTTCTCTCAAAAAAGATGGGTGAATTAGCAAAGAAGTGGGGCATAAAAACAGTGTTGTCTCAAGAGTTTCATCGAAACCCAGTTTCTCATCGTATCTACTTTAAAATAAGCAAGTACAAATAGTGCTAGTGAAGGCGTTATACGAGGATATAGAATTGGTGATTAGCTTAAGGGGGAAGCGATATCACGATTATTTACCAGACAATTGATCAAAATATCTGCATCATTTGTTTCTTTGACGAGCTGTAGCGTAGTGCTAAGAGTGGCAAGACTCACTGACGATGCCGTTGAAATGTCTGGAAATGTTTCACATCCACGGTCCTACCTAGGAAATTATCATGCATACACTGGAGTCCGGACTAAGTGCGTTCCTTCAAGTCTTCCTACAAATATGATCATATTACGAAAACACGGTGACACTAGTTCTGTACATATACTTTTAACCCATGCACTAACCAAATCATTTCATACTACGTTAAAGACCATATATTTGTGTGTGTCTACAGCATTTAGGGATAAGATGGCAAATTTTCTTGACTCGTTAACTTGAATATGCTTGTAAGCACAATACCCTGTTCTGATCTCATGTCCATCATATAACGGACGAAATCTTAGCACATTTCTATCGGAATCGGAGGAGATTACCTCGGAAACAGGTTTTCGTGAAGCAAATCGTCAACTGGTCAAGAGTAATTTGGTGGCGTATTCTTGTGGGTTCGACCTTCGAATCACTACATCAAACACCTTCACTTGAAATGGAAGTGAGCTCAACAATGATAGACCAGAAGACTCTTTGAAAATCAACATTTTTGGCATAGGCCATTGTATAGATCACTTTCAATGAGCTAATGCTGAAACTTATTTGTGTTTGTCAATTTCACTTAATCTTGTACAATCAGTCCAAATATCCGATTTTACTTATACTCTGCGAATGCATGCTACCAGCTCAAATCGTATAGAAAGTACTAATGTGATTTAAGCGACTTGCCAATTCTCAGTAAATTGATGCTTTTTCGGCACAAAGTTTGACATAATTAGTTGGTTAGATTACTCATTCTTCTCTACTTTTTTGTATTCTTTGAACACTTATGATGCTTATCTGTATTCCAAATTCGTTACTCCTTATTTTGCTTACCATTATTTTACATTTTTTAAAAATTATCCATCTAAATAAATTTTTTGCTTAATTATCGGGATGCATTTAGCTATACTTACTTTCTTACATTTTTGCTTTCCTATATTGCTTACTCTTATCGCGTACATACACGATAATTCGCTTAAATTATTTCGGAATATTCCGTCGGTATTTATTATTCATCCTTTTGGATAGCAATATTAGTTGAAAGGAATATTTTCATTATCATAATACGTTGAGGGATTGTTTGTTGTTTGCTTTGAAAATCCTTAGGAATATCATCATTCAGTGACTGCTAGCCCTTGGTAAACTCAGCCTTTATTTTAATATCTTGCATATGACAAAAGAAGATTCTATACTACTTCTCAAACCATTGGATATTTTGCCAGACACTTGTTATCCACGACTTGCATCTCACACCAAGCACTATCTTATATCCTGTCAGACGAGTAAATTATCATTTTGCATAAAGCAATTTAACGTATAAGGGCAATGCAAATATGCCAAGTTTACGAAGAATATTCTGCCGTGCAGCAAGGAAATCTATTTGCCTATTGATTTCAGTCTTATTTATTCCATTTACAAACAGTGTGGTAGTAATAAGTTTTATCCTTATGCTATGGAATCCATAGTTTTGGCGTTTGATATTTACTTTGTTGTCAATTTATTTTATTTTCCACTTTTGTTAAGACATTGATTCCCACGATAATGATCACTCAGTTTTACACTTACCTGATGGTTCATTCATCTGCTTCCCTTTATGATAGCATTTCCGCATCCCAAACAAGCCTTAATTTCGAATCAAATAGTCCTAAATTATGATGGATTTTTAAGATAATCAGCATAATAATATATTTGTTTAATATCATATTTCAACGAGAATCTTCAGTTAATACGCACTACACATTGTCTGTATTTAATGTTGTATATTTTAGCATTACTGATGGTGATAGCTTGAGATTATACTTGATTTTCCACTCATCACTCATTCTGTTTATCCCTAAGTCATTCTTTAATTATCAGGACTGTGGTTTCATCTAGCTCTCATTAGCGCTCCAAAAGAGATTAGCATTCATGGAATTTAGTTTTCTAACCATATACATTTCCATTAAATTTCCCTTGATCCTAGCTACATATGGGCATAGGTAGGCAATTTAAATCGTAATGGTCATTCATCAACTATACATACATTTTAAAAGATGAAATCTGTTCTCTTTTATATAATTGCAATTTAATATAGAATATTTTTGGGCCTCCTGCCTAATAAGGAAGACTTATTATCTCTTAATTGGCCGAATTTGTATTCTCATTTATCTAACCCTAAATTGTTTCCGTGCCTCGGCCTTTTAGATAAATTTTTTATTCGTTTTGCATTTATCCCCGCTTCTAATCTATGCCTTATTTCACATTACAACTGCTTTCCAAACTGTGCAGGATCTGACTGTACCAAAAGCTGTCCAGGAGGTGATTGATGAAGAGCTGACCAAGCTCGGTCTTCTAGACAATCACTCTTCTGAATTTAATGTAACTCGCAATTACCTAGATTGGCTGACTAATTTACCTTGGGGCATCACTTCCGTTGAATCTCTTAACCTGGCCTCGGGCCGAGTGATCCTTGATGAGGACCATTACGGTATGGACGATGTCAAGAAGCGCATTTTAGTAAGTGAATTTCTTCCATCTTTGGCTTTTTTCACTATGCCAGGGGATGGCAACCAATTCATTCCTACCTCATCTATTTATCTTGCTAATCTCCATTGCTTCTTTCCTTCTTTTTTTAGTTTGTTTTTCTTTAAATCGACTAACTATTCCTTGGTTGCTTCGATGATTGCTTGCGTTTAATTGAGCCCTCCATACAGGATTTAGTCAAATCATAATCTGGATCAGCTTCTGTCTATTGACGGAGCTTATCAATAGTCATAAATGTTTTTACCATTGCAAGGCTTTACAGCTGCGCTACTAAAACCAGTTAAAATGAAATGAAATTTGCAGTTAATTTTTTATTTCATTCTTTATTCTAATCGGCTTGATTGCCATTCTGGACAATGCGGACCTAGCAGCTAGGGCCAAATGTTCTAGGCTTGCCTACTATGCAGTTAGACAACTTCACGCCGATATGCGGCCAAATGCTCGAAACTGCTCCTTTGCGTCTGTGTTTATATATTTGTCTTACATATGTGCTTTGTTTTTGTCCTAGGAATATTTAAAAACGGAGGTGTTATCTGAATTTCTAGATAGATCTGGAGTGAGATAAAGAAAGACTTATCATCGCGAATTCCCTTTTGGCTGTAGATCGTGATATCCTGTTTGGCTGGTGTTATGCTACATTTGTCCTGGACTCTCATTTAGTGAACATTTTAGGAGACGGGGAATTTGTCAGGTTTCATACCTACCTCTTTTTATCACATTATTTTACGGAGCCTAACTAGGCAGGCACTATGTCTTAGGCTACATGTCATTTGGTTCCTCTAGCAGAAATATCACAAAGTTTAACTCGCACCCGCCAACTGATTTTTTAATGATTTGGTTGGTCAGTCGGCTTCTGATATATGTGGCATTCTTGAGTAAGTGTTGGTGTCTTCATATTTTTGAGGCGGACTGGACGGATTTTTGGAACGTTTATCGTGCCAAGTCGGTTTTCTGACTGCATCAAAGAAAAGCACTCCACTTTCTTGTGGACAAGCATTCACTTTTTAGCCCGTTACTACTCCTGGAATCTTTACATCTTGATCCGATTTACAAGACCATCTTTGTAAGTCGAAACATGTACGCTTACAAAATTGAGAACTTGCAATCACTTTTATCCTGGTTCCCGTTTTGCTGGGATACTATGATCCTCACAAAATACCATCTTCAGTCACAGCATAACACAACTTTGTGTTTATTGTCTTAACAACCTGCTCAAATGACTTCATAATTCAATGTTGATGTTCACGAACGTCAAAATTATTCGTTTTATTTTATATTGATGATACAGTCACTCGCCTGTCCCTATAAGAACCTTTAATTGAATATAAGAAATTGTTTGACTTTTCAAGGGAATTTAATTCTAGCCTTCACTATCAAACTTCGTACACTTATAGCTCTAAATCACAATTAATATCTACTAAAATGCCATATGGTACTATGCTGCCATTCTTTCATCATTTCCACTAGTGTAGCTATGACAAGCTCTTTTAAATGGTGACCTTCAGTGGGCCTATCTGGCACTCCAACGGTTAAAACTTATCGTTGAATCGCCAAAATCTAAGTATGATGTCTTATTTTCGTTTTTAAGTAGGCCCACGAGACACTGTTTTTATTTAAATATAATATCTCTTTAGATCCCAGCAACCTTAACGTCGAGTTGCCCAGCCATATTTCAGAAAGCAATACATACTAAAAGCCCAAAATTTAATTGGATTAGTCATTTAATCTCTTGATCGTGCATTTTTAAGCTAAAGTTACATTTGTTCCAATATGCTAGTGACTATATCGAAAACCAGTTTCCTTACCTCTTGCTTAATCTAGGCATGCATTGAAGGCTTTTCAATTTAATGCAATATTTGGTTAATGCCATTCTTTTACTTTATTAAAGGAATTTATCGCTGTCAGCCAGTTGAAAGGTTCTACACAAGGCAAGATTCTTTGT